ATAATAATCCATCTTGCTGTTTCAGTCACTGAACCCCAGAAAAGGTTCACTGATCTCTTCGTTTCTTGAACTATTCCATCTGTAAATAAATATGTTTACTCTAAAAGTTTAGTGACAAAGCAACTGATTTCCAACTACCTACAACTGCTCAAGTTACTTGTGATCAGTTATGACAGGTTTGATTGAAATGATCTGTTTTCCTCAGCTGCCATTCTGACCAGCCCTGATGCCAGAAGAAGGAATAAAAGATGTTGGCAGTCTAAAAAATTAATTCTGGCCTTGTCTGCCATCTGGTCCTTCTGAGCCAGCCAACAAAAGGACATGCGGACAATCACAATGAAGTGCTATTGAGATTAGATGTTCAGGCTTCAAGGGCAAAAGCCATATAAGTGTAACTTGAAGGAAAAGCTGTTTTGCTGTTAGCACCTGCAATTGATTCAGTGTCCTACATGCAGGAGACACTGTTCTTCTCCAACAGAAACCAAGATAACATTTCACACATGAGAACTTTTAGGTATTATGAAGATTTGGCTTCAGTAGCAGAAATAAGGAAAATTTTCAGTTGCTTTTTTTTTTCTCCTTAATCTACTAGTTCCTTTCGTATATTACAAGTTTCTGATCGGTGTTTCACTTCACAAGCAACAGCTTTCTGCAATCATGAAGGCAGTTTGCTGATCCAAAACAAGTTCGACCACATCAAATCAAAGGTATAATTGATGATTTATCAGGCTTCTGAGTCTTAGAAGCACACAATTAGGTTGCCTCTCTGAACCACAGCAAGGTTAACCACAGCCAGTAGGGCTAAGCTACAGCTTTCTGAAGCCACATACATAAAAGGGATACATGATCTTCAGCAAGTTAAGGAGGGCTCACATCACTACACATCAATGAACCAGTGATGAAGTGATTGATGACAAGCCAGGCACCTCACACTGGCCAGAGGAAAATCCCATTTTCCTAGCTATTCCCATCTCATGCAAACTAAACAGCTTAAAAAAAAACCACACACACATGAAACTGTTAAACGTGAAGGTTGTGGTGATTAGAAAGCATCCCAGCTGTTGCCGAACACGGCAAGAACCGTTCCTATGTTAGTTACCTCCCATTCTCAGCACTCCTTTGAAATTATTTTAAAGTTGTTGCTTTGTGTTTCTGTATTTATCTTTCTGGCTGGGACAAGAAGAAGTATCATATCTGATAAATCCAGAAAGTTTTAATGATTACAAATGAGTAAGTGTCTGCATATAGGGAAAGCACAGCCCTCCTGCATCAAATCTATCAAGGCTCAGGCCATCTCTGCTAACTCCTCCCAGCGACAGTATTCATGCTGGGGCCATGCTTTTCCTCGCACACGGCACAAAATCTATCCTGACAAAAAACACACCTTTGATTCTGGGTGTTTTTGACTTTGACTGTATAGGCTTTTTACCGCCTTGCAATTTCCTGTGTTTTTTATCACTTTTTCTGCTTCCTTTTTGCATTTTTTGTTGTATTTTTCAAGAATGCAGAAGGAAAAAATGCTTTTAAAATATCTGACTTCTCAGTCTGAGTAACTCCCTGTCTTCCCTTACAAATGCCACAGGAGGTTTGGAATGACAGTGGACACCAACTCAACATCATCTCTTTTAACTACAAATGGCCAGACTTCATTCTTCACTCTCCAGTTACAGACCTGCAGACTCCGACAATCTCTGTTGCTCCCCAGCAGCCCGGTTAAACCTGGGTTTAGGTATTATTCATCCAGTTAAGAGTTTCAAAATCCTCTACCACCACAACTGTTGGTCCCAGGTACGGGTATATCTATATATTTGATATATGCATTTCTTATACCTGTTCTGCTGCAGTAATCTGCATTTGTTAGCCCACAGGCTCTCATTTATTTTGCAGGCATGAGATCCTTTCTGTCTTTCATTATTCAAGTAGCTCACTACTTTTATGCCTCCAGGAGTATATAAGATACAGCAGAGCAGAGCACGAGGGGGCTTGCATGGAGAAAGGAAATCAAAAAGCCAGCATTAGATTTCAGCTGAATTAAGTGGCTCTATTGTGACAGTGGTTTCTCAAAGTACTTCATAAATTTCTCTCTCCCATCTGCATCACTGCTTAATGCTAATGCATTTTGGCATAGTCTTTCCTTTCTATCTGTTAGGAAAATAAATGGAAAAACCTCCAAATAGCCCAAATTTCAGTCATACCTCAGAGACTGGACACTGCACAGTATAGTATACTTTCGGACCGACTAGCCATACGCCTATTTTTTAGGGCACCAGCAACACTGCTAATGCAAAAGAAATAACATTATAATGAGCTTGCCCCACTTCCTGGGTCTCTTGCTCTGGAACATCTGGTTAAGACGATCATTGCTATTACTCTCCTGCCCACATTTCAACAGTCTGAGGTTGATTGTCCCTATTTTGTTTTGGCCTTGTCCTGCCCTACCCAGAACCTGGCAATGCCAATTCCAAATCAAAACCAACGGAGATTTGCTGTCAGAAAGGCACATGCTTTAGCATGATCCCCTTTTCACCTTCTTTGCACGTTTGTCAGACAGAAACTTATCCCCTACCCATTCTCTTAGATGGTTTGTGTCCCCCTCAGACTAACACAGATTACTCAGGTGATGGAAAGGAGGGCTCAGCCCTGGAGGCAAAACGTGCTGTCGGTGTGCGTGTGTGTGCGCGCATGTGAGCACCTGCAGGCCAACCCTTGCCGTGGCGAAGGTGAAGCCCTGCTCCACACAGGAGGTTTTATTTCCTCAGAAGCAACTATGAAACAAGACAACACCAAGAGAGTGTTGTTGCCTTTTTGCTTTGTAGTGGTAGGTGCTCTCGGACCTGGTTCAATAACGCCTCCCAGCCGGATCTTATGCCTTCAGCAATGGCCCTCTTAGGACACCTGCTGACCTCCTGGGCCTCACCCCCATCTCCACCCCCCTACTTTCCCAAGACAAGATGCCCCCCAGTCCTCTCTGATACAGACAAGAAAACATATTGAACAGAAGGTCTGGTTTTAAATGGCTAGTAAAAAGCAGGGTGGCATACGCCTCATCACCAAAGCCAAGGACCGTCCTGCACTTTGCTTCTTAGAAAATTCAGAGCTGTCGTCTCAAAAGAGTTTCCCAAAGCTATAGTCACTCAGCAGGTATGCATCCCGCTCTGCTGCCAGGCACCACAACCCAATTTCCAAGGTAAAGCTGGTGCCTGGAGAAAGGGCCAGGCCTGTCCTGGAGGAAGGGTGCTTCACTGCTTGGGAGGGAAGCACCTGAGTGCCCTCTCCGCTCTTGAGCTACCAGCCAACGCTGGAAAAGCCAGTCAGTCAGCCTCACTGCTCCTCTGTCTTCCTCTGCGACTCAGGGACAGCCTCTCAGGCCTTGCCAGGATAAAAATGCGGGTCCCTCACAGCCTTGGGTATTGCAAAAATCAAGAGCACTTACACAGATAGATGTTCCTCTGCCTATGGAAACGTTTCTTGATTTTTCAAAGGTAATTGCCAGGCTGGGCACTGAAAAAGTGTAGGAAAACGTTCCCCTCTTCCTGTATACTCCACATGTGCGATGCCGAAGTGAGGAGAGCGGGAGATGCCTTAATGCAAACTAAGTAACAATTCTAGTGTCCAAGCTTCATTTTCCACACAAATACATACAATTCCCAGATGTGCTAATTTCTGCCCGAAGAACAGAAATCATTGAAAACACATTGTTTTCCAAATTAGGTTACTGATGCAAAATCTTGTGAAGCTTCTGCTACAGGCGCTAGTCCTGTGCAGGGTACGAGGGACCTCTTGTGGTGGTTAGGCAGTCGGCTGGCCACTCTTAGCTACCAACCGTACTCAAACGAGTTCCAGCAGCACATAAAAACAAGCTCCGTATTTATTCCTCTTATTAAAGGAACTTAACTCATTTAATGCATAAGACGTTAGTTTATAAACAAATATTGCTATAGTTTATCATCCCAAGAAAGCTGGCCTCCAGCTATGAACACAAGTCACCTAAAAATAAAGAAAGTGCACTCTCTCACTAATATTTTATTAAAAGCTGTCAAGTCTAATGCAGCCTACCAAACTAGAGTGTCATAAAAAATAATAGCTACTGGAAACAGTTCACTTAACTTCATTTTTTACCTGGATAATACCGTTCAACAGGGAAAAAGAGTCAAATTGTCCTCGTAAGTCAAAGATCTGCATTCTTAGCACAAGAAAAGTTATGCTAGGTCTGGGAGACTTCAGCATGCTTGCATTAAGTGGCATTGTTTCCACCCTTAAGCGCCTCATTAGAAACGACTTCTAGACTTTCTTAGTGAACGCCGAAGCCACGAAATATTGCTGTGCGACATAGGACGCTGCCTCAGAGAAGTGACCAATATGTGCTTGTAGCAAGGACTCGGACAACCTATTCACAGGCAACCTACGTGCTCCAGTTGAACAACGGGATGCATCCTGCTGTTATTTATTTGAGTAGTCCAACACACAACATGGCAAGTTCAACTGCCCAGATTTTTTTTTTTTTTTAAACTATCAAATTACTTTGTGCGCTCCGGTCTACAGTTTCCTCAAAACTGAGATTCTATCACAAAGCTGAAAGCAATATTTATAGGCTCTATATTTATCTGTTGTTTTTTTGACCCAAAAAACCTCACCCCACGGACAGTCACAAAGCCCCACAGCATTTTCAAAAGGGGGCTCTATTTTTGGATTTCTAGTTCACAGCCATTTTAAAAAGAGAAACGTAGTCTCCTGCCACTAGTCACCCCAGTCTGCAAGGCGGCTTCAATATTTCTTCCAAAATCAAATTTAATTTGCAATCCCTAGATCAGCGTCTCTAACTCCCTTATAGAAAAAACTTAGAAAACACATTTATTCGTAAGAACACTACCACAATTTGTCACCTGATTTTGAGAACACAAACACAAAATGCCAAAGATACGCTTCTCTGAAGATGTGGACTTTCTGCAAGCGAACAAAACACCACCTGGAACCACCTTTTCCCATGCAGGACGCTGCTATCACCAGCTATGTCCATCATCCAACCTTGCTAAGACCTGTGTGTCACTAACCCCGGATGAACACGCAGCTGCACGTTCAACTGTATCTAAAAGACACAGTTACAGTTGAGACACTACAGTTCCCCTAAAAGCCCTTCTTTAATCATTAGTCCTAACAGCATAGCTTTCCCCAAGTAGCTCATTTATGTGAGGTCCTGGAAAGGAGCGCAGGCAGCAGAAGGAACAGGAGGACTGGCCCCAGTGGCATACTCACCGGCGTGCTGCTGTCAGAGAAGGTGTTCATGCTGATGGAGCTGCTGAGCTTGTCAGACGAAAGGGACGGCGGCGAGGGGCTGCGCTTCCCCAGCGGGTCATGGTGGGGCAGGGCCTGCCGCGGCAGGTAGTCACGCCATGCTCTCTGAATGCTAGTGGCAACAATTAGAGCACAGTGGTGGGGGGGAAGGCAAGAACAAAAAAAGGATTTCAAATATATATTCTTAACTGAAGAGGTAGTCCTTGGTTGGGCGTTGTTTTTTAAAATGCATTATTCATTTTATCTGGAGAATGTTCACACATAAGAACCCACTGTCGGTCTCATCTTAGCCACTACTAGAACACCTTGAGATATTTGTTAAGTAAAAGAGGAAGAGAGAACTGAGGAATTATTTCAAATTCCTCAATTTACAGGAGTGATCTAAATTCAAGACTATATTTAACTCAATAGTTCTCTTACATCTTGCAAAGAAAGTAAAATGCAATTATCTGTTTAAAAGAATTCAAATTTTCGTAATTATACCAGCTTTCAGATTACAATACAGATACAGTTGCAACTTAGAGCTAGATCAGCAACCTTTAAATCTTCTCTCTACTGCTATAGCTGGGAACTTAAGAACTGCTCTAAATCCACATGTGGGGATTAAGCAAGGAGCTCTGGTTTCAAACTCTAAACTTCTAAAGTCTCATGTAAAATTCTGTAAAGAAAATCACATTTCAAACAAGACTGTTAACAGCTTAGCTTAAAAAAAGCTCAACCTTTTGTGCTGTAAGTGAATATTCATAAGTAAGTGACTGATGGGTTAGGGTCTGGAAGCAGGGCCTAGAGGGTCTCCCCTGGAGGGCAGAACCGGACTGCTGGTGGCCGGTGAGCCTCAGCTCCTCTCACCAGGTGGCACTGCACTATCGCCTGTGCGGTTGGGAAGGCACAGGGGACAGCGGTGAGAATCTCCGTTATTAAAACAGTGTTTACAACAGTAAAGGCTTTAATGCAAAATATGTGGGTGCTTACATAGGATGGTCTGCCATCTCTGCAGGAAAGGAGAAGTAAATTCTGCCCAAAGACTGAGTTGTCTGTGTTACTTTGGTGTAATAAGCCTGAAAGAGCTCCTTTCAGGATTTTTAAGTAATTGAGATTTTATTCACTTGGATATTAAGTCAGTAAAACCTTCAGTGTGTCTGTTAATCAGGAGGAGCACCTTGACCTTTACTTGTTCTCAGATTTGGGAGCAGTGCAAGGTTCACGTTTAATAGCGACACATAACATCATCTCATCTCAAGTGCCTGAGACTCATCCCTCCGCACCGTCCCATCTCCCATTCCTCCCCTGGGTCGGGCAGCTACTCTGCCAGAGCGACCCATTTCTGCCTCTCAGACCTCCTTTGCCGGGCACAGCAGGACGAGCTTTGCCTAGCAAAGCCCGGAACAAAAGCCAAGGTGCCCAGTGGCACCAGGGCCTGGCAGTGAACATGCCTGCACAGCCCCAGCCCCCCTCCTACTAGAGGAGCCAGTGCACAGACAGCTCCCTGCTGACAGTCCCTTCCTTGGGAGAGGGTGAAAGCATGCACAGAAGGACTTGAGAGGAGGAACGTACAGAGCATAAGGCTTACAAGGGCAAAGGCTGCAATTCTGACTTCCAAGAACAGAGGCAATGGAGTCTGTAGGTACCTGTGACATGAGATGCCAAGGCTGCGTTGCATGGTGTGCACCCTGCTTAGATTTGGGCAGGGGAACCACTCTCCGATGCTCTGTTGAGAGGAGAGCTGCTCTCCCCAAGGTGTCAGGGAATACCGGACCCTTAGCCATCCTCATCAACTGGTTGCAATCCCATCTACAAGGGCTGGGGGGTTCAAAGTCTCTAGTGCTACTCCCCCCCCCCCCCCCCCCCCCCCCAACCCCGGCCCGGCAGCTTTGTAGTGAGGAGGAAGCAGATGATTGCTGGGAAGCTGCCACACCTGTGTGGTGTTGAGGGGCTTGACGTGCCCAGCAGCTACTCTGGGAGGAGAGGCTCTCACAGCTGAACTGGGACCACCTGTGGAGCCAAAGCTTGGCTGGCCTTGGGAGGCCATAAGGAGGCTGGGGAGCATGGGAGGTCTTCAGAGCGTGCTGGACGCCACTGTAAACGGCTGTTGGTTGTAGCCATGGTCAGCATAAGGAAAAGGCTCCTGAGTGTAACTCATCATTTCCACTGCAGGTTTGCAGACTTGCCTTCCATAGGAGACGCACAGCCATTGAAGTGAACCTGCTGGAGGCCTTGGTTATGCATTCAGCCTTTGCTCTACTAAGCTGCACGTGGCTGTGCTTTCACTGCTGGTGCCAGTGGGCCCCAGGTTGGTCTTGTTAGCCCAGGTGGCCCCAAACTGGCCTCGTTAGCCCAGCTGTCGCCGCTGCTCCGTCTGCCACCTGCAACCACGAGCTTTGGCCCGATCGCACGCTCCTGGTTCGACCGCCAGTGTGTGAAATGTGGGTGATGCTCCTTTCTTAAGGTGTCTTCCTATGTGCTGTAAGAGTTGAACCAAGGGATCCACAACCTTTATTTACTTTGGCCTAGGAATACCTCCTTACCTTGATTTTTCAGCAGTCTGGATGTCCTCTCTGCCCAAATCTCCACAAGTCAGAAAAATATTTTAGCCTCTGACCAGGCTGAAAAGGCATTTGATTGTACATTCC